CGGGCGGCGGGCGGGGGCGGGGCTCCGTGGTGCTCCAATCCCGGCCGCGCCCCGCGCGCCCCCTCCCGCCCGGCTGGGGGCACCGAAGGTGACTTTCACCCCGACACGCCCGGGACACACCCCCCGCCCAGGTGCGAAGCGGAGAGGGCGGCGGGGCTCTGGGACCGTGAACCCAAGAGGTTGGGTCTGTGCAGCGATGAGAAATAGAGCAGGGCGTGGGACTCGAGCTTCGGGACGGTGTCCCCGAAAGGCTCAGCAAGACCAGGGTCCCTCGGTGCTCCGGGCCAAGGTGGGGCCCGGGGCAGGAGCAGGACCCGGGCCGAGGTGAGGGCGGGCGGGGCCTAGGGCGGCTGCCGCCGCGCGGCGCTGACGGGGATGGATGGGCGCCCCGCGGCTCATTCGGCCGGGAGATGAGAATCATTGATCACGGACGGAAACCCCATCACGTCTGTCAATAGGGCTGACGAACGGCGCCTGCCGCCCCCACTCCCGCCCCCTGGGCACCTCCGCGGTCTCAGGACACCACCGCTAGACAGGCCATTCACCTTTGCCCCTCGCCTCCCCCTGCTGACCCCCGCGCATCCTAGAGCGTCCCTGCGTGGGGGTTGGGCAGGAAGTCCCCCTTGGCGCCGCATGCTCAGCCTCTTGGTGCAGTCTCTATCCCTTCCCTTTCACTGTCCCATCTTTCACCATCAGCTCCTCTCCCTTGTCTCCTTCCTCCTATCTCTGTCCTTGTCTCTGTCCCCAGCCCTGTCTCTGTCCCTATCCTCTTGGCTGTTTCTTCACCGGCTCCCTCCTCCCCCTGGCCTCTCTCTTCTGCCCGGGAGTATTCAGCTGTCAGCTGTTGCTATGCACTGAGGCTGTGGCTGAGGTTGCGGTATGACCGACACCTAGACAGCTAGACATAGGGACAAGCAGAGAGATAGAGCCAAAAAGAGCTATAGAGAGAAGCAAAGAGATAGATAGGCACATACCCTGAGATACCAACATACACCCCCAGGCGTGCAGGCAGATGCATTCACAGGGGCAGGCCACACCATACAGGTGAGCACACAAGCAGAGTGAAACACATTCACGCAGAATCTAGCACACACTAAAGGCACACTGACACACAGATGGACAAACTTGGTTTACACCATATGGGAGCACACACAGAGACAGACAAATGCACCAAGAGACAAGTACACCTAACCAGGTACTCAGAGCCCACCCCTGCTTTAATGTCTTGACAGAGAGGCAAACATCCAGAGACGGACACACACACACACACACACACACACACACACACACACACACACGCACACGTATACACTGTCACTGGCAGTCCAAAAGACAAGCCCAGGCGTGTGCGAACAGATATAGGGATGTGACAGACACACACACAAAAAGGATCAGGAATGCTGAGAAGATGAGGCAAACAGAGACAGCAGAGGGACAGTAGCCAGGAAGCAGGAACCTGGGTGCAGGTGGGGCAGAGAGGAGGCAGGAAGGAGTAGGAGTGGCCAGACCCAAGGTCTCAAGCCTCCAACCAGAATCCTGAGCTCAGGTCCCAAGCCCAGGGGCTGTAGCAACAGTGGGTGGGGGCAGTGGGCACACCCAGGTCTAGGGTGCCCAGGACAGACCCAACACTAGATCAAAAGTCTTGATCTTTTGGAGTCCTGACCCACCCTATCTCTCCTCCTTTTGGTACAATCTCAGGTCACCCACTTGTCTCCAGCTACACACACACACACACACACACACACACACACACCCCACTCCCCTCTCGGGGTCTTTGCCTCTGTCCTTGTATCTCTGTCTCTCATTTTGTCTATATTGCCTTTGCCACTGGTTCTACCCTTTTCTCCATCTCTGTCTTAGGGCCCCTCTGCCGGCCGTGCCAGGTGGGTAGTTTTCAAGACTGCCTCCTTGTAGACCCTCTCCTGTCCAGTCCTGGAGGGCAGAGGGAGGATGCAGCCTGGAGGGGTGTGCGTTCCAAGCCGCAGCTGGGGGCCCCTCTCGCTTTGCCCAGAATCTTGAGGCGACAGGCAGAGAATCAGTGGCTCCCCCGGGGCGCCAGATGCACGGCTGGCAGAGGGAGAGAGTGAGGGGGTGGGGCTGGTGGTGGTGTGGTAGGGGGAGCAGGCAGGCATTGGGGGAGAAAGAGGAGCCGGCTGGCGGAGGGGGGAGAGGGGGGTGTGGCAGAATAGCCTGAGGGAAGGAAGTGAGAGGTGGGATGGGGTCCGCCCGCAGGTGCATAATTAGTGTGTGATGGGGAGGGGGCTGTGCTGGGTGGATTTCAGGGTGAGCTGCGCTGCAGGAGTGCGTCCGCCACCTGGTGGACAGATGGGAGCACAAGCCTCTCTCTCAACAATCAACAAGGACGCACTTTTTTTCTCAGCTGGTCTTTCTGCCCCCACGGGGCCCCTTGGGCCCTGGGGAGCGCGATGACAGTGGAAGATCTCGGAGCTGGCTTGGAGACTGAGGTTAGAGATGGGGTCTCAGGGCTGAGCGGGAAGGGAAGGGCTCTTGTTTCTGGAGATGCCTAGACACATAGCTTCCTTAAGAAAGAGGGAGTAGACTGAGGAAATTAAACGAGGGAGGGAGGAAGAAAGGCGATGCTTCCCCTATGGGAGGTGGGTAAGAGTACCTTGCAGCCACTCTCTCAAAGCTTGTATTTGCTGTTGAGAGGAGAGCGGGGCTCTAAACTTTCTGTCTTGGACAGTGTAAAGCTGTGTGACTTTCTGCCAGAGGTTGCCCTCTCTGGGCAGGGGTTGACGTAGACCTGGGACCCCTTTGATTGTAGCTATCCTTTCCTTCTCGCCCCTGGGATGTCTAAAGTGATTGATGAGCTGTGTTTGTTGGTGGCCCATGGGGCCTGGCAAACTGGTTTCCCCAGCTCTCCTTCACTCCAGCTCCCCCTCTCCCCTGCCCAGAATCCAGGGCTCTACTTTTGGCATCTGATTAGTCTCCATAGAGTGTGAGATGTTAGTGCTTCAAGAGCAACCTCAGGCAGACAGCGCTGTATGGAACCACCCTGAAGAATCAGAATGCCCTTCAGAACCCCAGTGTGTTCATTTCTCATGCTAGGATTTCTCACTATGGGAGATCATTTTGGATAGGAGTGGTGGTGAAGTCCCATAAAAGTGGCAATTCAGAGAAACATCTTGGAGTTAGTATCCTAGAGCCAAACAAGATCCAGATAAGTGAAGTCACCGGCTCAAGGTCAAACACCCAGGAGAAGCAGGTCTTTCTTGTCAAGTCCAGTGCCACCCTCTTCTTTTGCCACAGAGAGATGGGAGAGGCAGGGAGATCCGAAGGGCATTGAAGACCAGACTCAAGTCCGCCTCCAGCACGGACCAAGGCTCCCTCTGGTGGCTAAAGCAGGCAAGCACAGCCCAGCTCCCAGAGTCTTGCACTCATAGGTAGACACAAGTGGCTTTTTTTCTTTTTTTCTTTTTTCTTTTTTTTTCTTTTTTACAATTTTATTTATAACAATATCTGTGTTATTTAGTTGTAAAGGAATTCAGCAAAAATTATTAAAACGTTCATGTCCCCAGAACGGGGCTGCCCGCTTGCCCTTCCTTGGTGTGCCTCACCTCCTCCTCCTCCCCAGGGGAGGGTAGCTGGTAGACCGTTTACCAAAGGAAGTCTCCAGCCCTGGGAGCCACCGGGGAGGGTAGAGGAGGGGCACTGTCTGGGAGGGATATTGAGCATGGCCATCTCAAAAGTGCCCCTAGAATGGGGGCTGGGGCATGGGATAGCCTCCACAAGAACTAAAAAACTCGATCCTTTCCTTCCTACCTCAGCCAGAGCCAAATCTTCCAGATAGGGGCAGTGAAAGACTCTCCTTCCCCAGAATTAGCCCTCAGGGAGCTGGGAGGGGTAAGGGAGGACAAGAGGGGTGAGCCAAAGTGTCTTGTACAGGGAGAGGGAGGCAGCACCACCAGCTCTCCCAATGGGGGTGCATTTCGGTGGGAAGGTGGGAAGCAGGGCCCCTTCATACCTATAAGCCAAAGGAGCCCCCAGAGCCCTCCCTGTCCCCCCTTCCTGAAGGCAGCATGGGGGTGGGGGGTTGCTGTGGAGCAGGCAGGAAGAACGGAAAGAGATAATACTGTGCTCGCTTGCTCGTTTGCTCACTCACATATAAAAAGTAATTCCTTCATTTTTACATTTATACATCCCAGCAGGGCAGGGGAGGGTTGGCTGGGCAGGAGTGGGGCTCACTGGAGGACTTCTCTGGCAGGGGGCAGGAGGCTCTCTGGGGGAAGTCCGATGGGGCAGGGCCCTATGCCAAAGGGTCCCCTATCTCGTCCTCAGGGCCCCGGCCCAGGAGTTCTCGTTTCTCATCCGTGCTGGCCAGGGAGTGGCGGCTGCCGTGACCACCCATGTAGAGTGTGGCGTACACGGGGTTGGTGAAGTTGGTGGGCTGCAAGGTGACAGAGGGTTCAGGTGGGTCTCGGGATGGGCTCTACA